CCATACAGTAAGGATAAATATGACCTTGGCTGACTGTAGTGTCAACATGGAAATTCAGTTTATTACCCATGTAATGGAGTGGATGAATATCTGTGTCCTTGAGACCTGACACCTGCTATGTTTTTTTACCTTCCAGTTAAACTCAAGCTTTCAACAAGACAAGGAACCCATTTTTCCAGTTTCAGTGCTCTACAAGTTCCACCAATGTTGTTCATATATATATATTGAAATGACTAAGATGTTGAAAATCCATTTCAGGTATCTCGATGCTGGAAGGGATATGCTAGCTAGCCTGCAGTATGGTGCTCGATGCACTTGTGGATATTGCCATATTTCAGATGTTGAGTTCCACACACAAGAAGATCATATGGAAAGCTTCTTCTTGGCAGAGACGGTAAGTACCTTTTCATTAAAGAATCTTCAGATGGTAGTAATCATAAGACATTTGTCATATCTGTCCTCTTTCATGGTGATCACTACTGTTAAACGTGGATGAGAAATTCTTGATAATTTTATGAAACTTATATTGGCATTACTGTATGCTTATAAAATACATGTATACCATGTATCTAAGCACTTTATGTGTATTTTTCCATTTCTTTATGTTTGCTTCTCTCACTTTCTTATTTAATGTTGCACCATACATTCAGGTTAAATATTTGTGGCTCCTTTTTGATTTGGCTGCTGGTCCGGATAACCTCATTGAGAATGGTCCATACAAGTATGTTTCCTGAACAGGTTGCCTTTGAGAAGATTATCCACTTTAATCTGTTTGACCTACAGCTAATACATCAGATGTGGCCAAAGGCATATTGTCATTAAATACCAAATTCTATTGCCAAATTAATAAACATGAAAATCATATTGGAATTTCTCACTCCTTGTTGACATTGGAAGCAGGACTGTTTGTTATTATTTCTTTGAGTCCATGCTACAAACATAATGAAAATTCAACTACAGGTACATTTTCAGTACAGAGGGCCACTTATTGCCCATGACTCCACAAATATCTCTAGTACGGGAACATTGCTTATACTTTGGAGCATACTGTAGAAGCAGCAACCTGAGACTGGAGACCAATATTTCAGGTATTGCAAAAAAACCTGGGGAAACTAATCACAGCAAGACCTACTCATGTCCTGGTCCGACTTGTTCCTTGTCACGCTTCACACCTCAGAACTCACCCACAATTTCAGGATTGGTAAAGGTCTGGAGTTTATATCTTTTTCAGGATTGGGCTTATGCTCTCTGGTTTCAAAACTATCTATGGGCCCATTTGTTTCCTTGTTTGCGTGGTTTCGTTCTTATCTATGCAACTGTCCTTACTCTGAACAGAGTGGCAATCAAACCTGTAACAAAATTTTCATTAGATTTACTTTATTTAGTATACTTGGTTAAACATTTAACAGGAAAAGGGACTATCACAAATGTGATTGCTTAGCAACTACTTTTTTCCCTGATTCGTAAAGCATTTGATGTGTGTTATGTCTTCCTTTCCTTTTAATTAGAAGCACTTGACTCGTTGGTTTCTCCTGATCTAATGCGTATAGCAAGACTACAAAATCCTGATAGTTGACACTAATGTCTAAAAGTCCCAGTGGTCAGAGGAGGACTCTTAGAGTCTCCCCACTGCAAGGTTCAGGGTTCGAATCTTGAGCCTCATAGGTTTTTCGGGTGTTTTTTGGTTTTTGTGGGGGGGTTTGGGAGGACGCAGGGAGTTGTGGGTGGTTAAAAAAAATGATACTAATTTCTAAAAGTCAATCGAGAGATTATGGCTTGACATTTAAAGGGGTGCAAAAGATTTAGGGAGCTTTTGCTCTAGCCAGTTACCAAACAGGTTTAACTTCTGTAAGACGGTATATCCTCCAAAAATGTCTTGACTCTTGCACCAAAGACTAGCTAATGTATCTGATGCCTGGTAAATATATGACAGGTTTTGGATCTTATATATGTGTATAATTTGTCACTTAGATATCTACTAACATTTGGTCATAAGCTATTCTTATTTCCCGTTCATTATGTTCAGTTCATGTTTATTTGGTGTCACGTCTATTTAAATGGAGTTAATCCACTGCTTGTATGTTATTGTCGTAAAAGCCACAAATCTCATGATTAAGAAGCTGTAGGTTGTAAATCCGATAAGACATGCTTCTTGTATGTGTCTTGTATTATTATATGTTACTTACCTTCTGATATGCTGAGGCGGTATTGGATTGTGTAACAGGGATACTGTCCGGGTCTAACACATGGGCAAAGGTTTGGCATAAAATATGCAGCTTCAGCAGATGCAAATCTTCAAGATGAGTCTCCAACACAGAGACCGGCTGATGTGGTTCAGAGCCATTCACTTGTATTGGTGTCTAACCACAATGCTGACCAAGTTGATCATGAAAAAGATCAGGAATCTAGTGTTGACGGATCTGTAGTTGCCCAAGGAGAGGAGAGACAACAGGGGAAGTTGATAGAATTATTTGAAGGAAGATGAGTATACTGTCAGGGTCGTCCTGATCACACATATTTTCCTGCCAGCTCTTTTTTACTTTAAATCAGACATCACAATTGAGGGTTCAAGCTTCATCCAGGAGGTTGGCATGGGTCAGAGCTCCTTTGCGTGGGCCTGTTTTGAGCCTCGAACTGGAGTTCCGAGCAACACGGCAATTTTGCTCTTCCAGCTCGATGGAAAAACGAGCAGAAACAATTGTACATGATTTCGAGGGGAGGGATGAATTCTAACGATTAAATTCTTTCAGAACACTAACTTGACATGTTTAAGTGAAAATGTACTTGAAGGATTCTCAAGAAGCATGAGGGCTTTTGAGGAAACATAGTAGATGGACAGACAATAGTAGCTCAGGGTTTTACGAAGAAACAAAAAAAGATGATATGATAGCTCAGGTGACACAATCTTGCCCTTAATAGTTTCTGTACTGTTGTATGACTATTGCTCAGGGCCCAAAAACAACAGAATGTGGCCCTTTAGATTTATTTTCAGAGATTCGCAAATGTAGATTTGATAGGAAATGTGATGTAGGAGAGGCGCATTGCCTTGATCATAATGGTGCAATGTCTCGCGAGATTCCTCTAATTATATGCTTACTACAATGGTGTTCATATATAGTCATTTACCTATTCCACTCTTATTGTGCTCATAAATTTTGGTAATCACGGAACTTCATAATCCTGTGTCTTCAATTCATAGATTGTGGAAGCTCATTGACATGGTACTGCATAAAGTTCTAAGAATAGAGGAATGCTTCCCCTTTGGGATACAATGGGATTTTGCGGAATATAGCCCAGTGATTCAAGATTTTGCCCCCTAGTAGTTGAATGATAGTTCAATTCACCTTGTTCTATGCCCTTGCTACTTCTTCTTCCTCCTTCCCATCCCTTCTCCAAAGTTTTCATATTGCTTTTACCCATTAAGCTTCTCCCTCCTAAAAATTCGAAAACAAAAAAAATAAAAATCAAGGGGTATACAAATTAACACGCTGGATCTTTGAGTCAATTAACTAAAGACTACTGTTGTCAGGCTGGGCTCCTTTTTTTTTTTTCAGTGAAGCTACGCTGGCCTCATTCAATTGGGTTTAAGCTTGGGTTAATGTAAAACTTATTTAGCACTATTATTCGCCAATCACAGGTTTAGTAAACTTGGACTTCATCCTCCAAGTATTCGTCCTCAGGTCAAGCGGCCTCTGATTTTGTGGCCCAATTTTCAGTTTTACAATGGTATTCTTGGACCATTTCTTAAAGCCCAAAGGGAGCCCAGATCTGTTGTTTACATGACGGTTGAGGGAGTTTATAAAAAATATCTTGGGCGCCATATTCGTAAAATCCAAAAAAAAACAGAGAGTTACACATGAAACACTTCTCAGCAAATTCAAAACCCAGAAAGCTTGAACAAGGCCTTTATTCATCCACCAATTACTCAAACCCTGTTTCAGGCAGGACTTATTTATGGTGGAATTTCCACACCTTATGCCTTTGAATGGGGAATCTCTACCCCGTCAACTTCTTCGGTGAAGTTCCTGAGCAAATGACTAATGATCATGTAGCACTACTTTTTGCATATGTTTTTCTGAACGTATGAACTTTTCTGGAACAGTGGGGGGTTATTCAATTGTTAGTCAATTGGAAAAAGGTTCAGAGAGGGTGAGAGGGAATACGTATATTCAAAGGGAATACGTATATTCATGATAAGAATGTAGCTTGTTGTGTTTCAAGTTACTCTTATTTGATTGGTTTTGTGCTCTTGGCAAAATTGATTATATTGGTTTCTTGGACAGAATGGGGACAAAAACCGGGAGGAAATGTTTGAAAGGATGTGGTGTCATGGACCATGATGATAAATGGATTAATTGATTTGCTAGACCGGATTTTTAATTATATGCCTATCATATCAGGTTCCTCTGAATAATCCTAGTCCTTCTTGTACTATGATTCCTGGATATGTGAAAAACAAGCTGCTTTAAGGAGGAGGTATTCAAAGTGATAAAAGTTTCATAATGGGCGATGAAAGTACTTTTCCAAGTACTGGTAATTGTTGCATTTTCTAACTCTAGATTTCTGTGACGCATAATTGATCACCAAAAACATGCATGTTCTGTGAAAAGTCAAACATATTTATAGGCAACATGCAGGCACCTGCAGACCTGTGCTGTGCCTTGATTCTGGATTGCATGTTTGGCTATGGTCTCTATGCTGGTCTAAATTCAACAGCTGATGAATTTAAGGTTCAACTAAAGAACTCTGGTGATTACCACCCTTAGTAAAATATTTATGCTGCTGCAGGAAGGTTCTCTGATGTTTCTAGCTCAAGAAAATGGTGTAGAGGACTTCAGCAGAAAATTTCAGTTCTATTACAAATTTTGATTAGGTTAGGCACTTTAATGCGTATGCATAATTGGATATGTCTTACTTATGCGTGCTGACTGTATATTCTTATCTTAAATCTGCTACCATGGATATGCATTTTCTGCTCTTATCATTGTCACTTTCAGAAGACTTTGTAAATGAATCGGTGAATAAATCTTTTTCAGACAGAAATCCTGGCACTATACATCCATGTCACTAAATACTGTGGCCTGATAATCAGTACTCTTGTAGATTGCATATGATACAGTGGTTAGCTGACAAGTTTAGTGATTGCTAGATCGCTTTTATCATGAATGCCCATTCGAGTAACTTTTAGGACGTGAAGGTCATTGTCATGTTCCAAGCCATTGACGGAAAGGAGGGGCATCTGAAAACCTTCTCCTAAGGTTTGCCTTTAACTTTGATACTTCATATTTGTCAATATTGCAACAAACATTTGCATGTTTTATGTTTTTTCAGTACATTGAATCTTTAACTTTCTGGTCAAGTACATTATACTGGTGTGTCCAGGTGTTCATCTGTGTTTTGTTTAATCCGGGACTTACCTGTTTGGTGGTATGAATGATGTCTTTGATGTACAGGGTTTTGGCTGTTTGTGAGCTTGGACTTGCATATTATCCTGATTTTCCTCAGAACGATGTGTGGCTATACCAGTCTATACCAGTCTATACCAGTCTTCATATTTTCCTTCATATTTGGTGTCTATACCAGTCTTCCAGATCTAATTTGCAATTGATGCTACATTTGAACCGCAGTACGTGTAAGTGTAACATCACAGACTTAAAGATAGGAAATCATTCCAATTAGTGAAAGATAGTTTATGTGCTAGTATATGGCCAGCTTCAAAATGTATTATAGCTCAGCGAGCTTGCCTTAAACAACCTTGTCCAAGATAGTTTGTTCAAAATATCTTAATGCTGTGTTTCACCATTCCTTTGTAAAGCAAGCTCATATCTTTTCCAAAGCAGGGAAGGGAATAGAAATGCTTATTAGGGTTTAATGTAACATCAGCTGAAGGTCTTTTGACTGTTATCTTTAATGAGTATCTTGGTGCTGTCCCAGAGAAATTTTCTGTTTTCTTTAACATTTGCTCCATCTCATTATTCTCAAATCTGTCTTATTACTCTCTCTCTCTCGTGTATACCGATTAATTAAATGGCTGAAGCATATTCTGAAAAATCATTGCGGAAATTGCGGCAAACTGTAACATATTCAAGTTACATGATCTGTATCCTTCATTTGAATCAATTGTTAATGTGGTCTAAAACTGTTCATTTAACTTGTCCAACAGTACGTTAATGAAGTGATGTACCTTCATTGCACTGTGATTAAATCAATCCAGGAAATCTGGGTGGACCTTGCAGCCGTGGGTTCAAGAGATAGGGGGAAACTGAATGATGATTCTGTGGATTAGGACAGAGGAGAGAATTTCTGCATCTTAATTGGAGTAGTCTGTATTCATACTACATTGTTTCCCATTATGTAGACCAAGAATACATCATCCTCTACCCTTGTTGGTTATTGACTGACTGAAATTCAATGAACCTGCAGAACATTACATCAATCTGAATATCTATATACATTCAAAGATAATGTATTCAACATGTTTTACCTTTCTCAATGAAACTATTCATGTATCTTGCTTTATAGCACTGGGCTCTAAAATGGCCATCTTTATGATTTAAATATATGCCAAAGTACAATGATCACAGAGCACAAAAAATTTCTCCAGCGCCCGATAGGATTCTGAAAGAAAATATAAATTTGATATTCTTGCATGCGATCCAACTACCTAACACAATGGTTAGAAATGACTTGGGTAACCCATTCCAAATTGCCAAATACAACAGAAGAGGTTTCAAGTAACAACCAATACTCCTGCATAAACACATTCAATTGCATGAATGTAGAAGCGGAATCTTCCTGTCCCTGGGTGGAGGAAGAAAATCTTACAAGGACATCTTCAAAGCTGTAGAGTTTGTATCTAATGACACGATACCTCTCCCCTTCCCCTGTGGAAAAGTAAAAGAAGATGGAAGGGTTGATTAACTTGGAATCTTGTGGAACGCGAGTTGGTTGAAGTGATGATAATGCCCTCTACCATCTTTCTGGCTTCAGTTTCCCAATTCTGACTATTGACCATTGGTTTGCTGAATTTGGCATGTGAATTTTCTGCAATTCGTCAGTCACGGACAATGTTTGTGAATCTCTTTTGAACAGTAACAACCAAGACAATGACTGAATTGATACTTAGGACCCCTGTGGTCAAGTGCTGAAGGGGGAACGTTGTAATATATTTTAAGTTGTTTTGTTGAATCTCTTTTTCATATACTGACTTAAGGTCCAAAAATCAAGTTTGAGGGACTTTTTAGAAAAGACAGATCTGGAATGAATGGAACTATAGAACCCAATAAGCGGTTTATGCATTTTATTGGAGTTTTTTCTCTTGCTATACAGTTCTTCAAATATTACTTTTAGAAATTTTCTGCTATTTAGTTCTCTTCAAGCTGGTAAAAATTACATTGCTTTTCTTATGATTGTCAGAATAGAGGTTTCTAGTCAAAGTTAAAGTAGGGAAGAGGAGAGTGGCAAGATTTGAGGCTCCAGTGAATGGTTAGGTATCTGCTGTTTATTGTATTAGTTTGTTGGCCACCAAAACAAGGACATATTATATCATCCGAATCCAATTGTATTAATTAGTCATTTTCTTGTAGAAGAAAGAATTTTGAGGCTTTGCAGCTTTTGGACAGATTCCATAGGAAGACCTCATGTCGAGGGAGTTCTATAATTGCAAAAGTTAGATCATAAGAATGGCAACTTGATTTTGAAAAATTACTTCAGATTATGAGCAAGCAAGAAAAAGAAAAGGAAAAAGTGGATTTCTTAGTGCTTTTTAAAGGTCAAGAGGGTCTCTAGTTGCGTGTCTTGAATGATAGTAAACAATGGGAGCAGAAGCTACACTATATAAAAATGGAATCATGAAATTGATAAAAGCCTGAGGAAAAAATCCTTGTTGATTTAAGTTCCTAATGTAACAGTTATAATCTGACAACTGGTGAATGATGTACAAAAGTATGCTTTGAACCCTGTTAATTGATATTCATATTCCAGAAAAAATGAGCAAAATTTGGGTGGCAAGGGGTATATGTTCCTTTACACATTTGCTGTGAAAGCAAATATCATATATATGTTTTTGTCTGATGGATTATTACAAGCAAAACACAAATGTTACAGGATCTGAAACCACCGCGGTTCTTCTGTAACTTGAAAAAGAAAAAACCTGTAGTTGCTATGGCCTTTCTTCTGTTAACTTCCTATTCATAGTCCACAAAAAACTGTTTTGCTACAAGAGGCTTTTAATTTCGAAGTTCTTCTTCGAGAACCCAAGCTGGGAATTCCTCTCTCCCTGAGAGGTTTCTTCTCTTCTAATTCTTGTAGGCTGATGCAGCTTTTGGGATATTCATACCCCACATCCCAGGCCTCTGGCTTCTGATCCTTTCATGATTCTCAGTTTCTTGCAGGATGACATAAACATTCTGCAAAAGTGATAGGCAACTTGATTATTACACAGGTTTACAAGGCACAGCTCAGAGAAAGAGAGAGAGAGAGAGCTTACTCCCAGGGAACATCACCAACTAGCATCAAGTCACCATCTTTATCTTCATATGCAGGTGCATATTCTGATCCTCTGTAACCTTCCCTCTCAGAATACTCACCTATTGTGAGTTTGAACATATATTCCAAAGCTTTGAGGAGCTCCGGGTACCCCTTGTATACTTTCAGATCAATCTTTCTAAGATAAGGGGCTCCATCCATGCTCACTTTGACATAGAATCCAGTCTCAGCTTCTGCCTTCTTTTGTTGGAGACTATTTTTCCTGTAGGACCTGACTGGTGGCCACCCCACGATCTGTGCCCTGCCATAACACAATAAATCCAACAGTCAGCTGATTGCACTACCACTTATATGTTACCAGTAATGAAAACTCTCTCTTATCTAGAATACTGATGCAGAAACTTACTTGGCAGCAGGTGCAGCTTCGCAGTCGCCATGTTGAGCATCAAGATCATCGTTTTTTGCACTTTCTTCAGCGCACTCAGGCAAGCTTCTCTTGTTATTCTTAGTACATGATGCTGATTCTTTCTCAGACTCGTCAGTGCCTGGCAACCCCAACCTAAGCTCAGTTGCCTTGAGATTCAGATCATTTTCATGAGCCACAATGGACTCCATTCTTCCAAGATTCTCAAGCTCTTCTACACCTTCACTTGTATAACCAAATCCGAGCCACCCCAGATGCTAAAATCAAGTTCTTGAACCTTGAACTGATTGATCGAAGCCAAAAAACTGTCTTCCCACTCCTTCAAGATTTCTATGCAGAGATGCTGCTTTCTTGCAAGGAAAGAGAAATGTTGTTAACCAACTTGTAATGTGCAACTGTTGGAGAAATTGTAAAAGTTTGTAACGCAAACTTGCAAAGAAAGGTGTTTTATAGGGTATGATTTTATAAAGTAGAAGTAGTAGTTAAGTTGTATAATGGTGCTAGCAATAGAAGAAGTGAATAAGTATTAAGGTGGTGGCTTAATATTTTTGTGTGAAATGTGCATGATTTTCGGACAAAGGCAAGCTCAGCTGTCGGCAGCATTAGCAGCAGCTTTGAGGCAGCTGCTCCTACATTTAGGGGACAAGAGTTGGACAAGCTCAGCCGCCCAGATGGACGACTTTCGAGAACGCGATGGGGACGGTCAAGATGCGTTTTAGGGGGTCGCGGGAGTGAAATCAGGAACGTTGGATTGAGGAGGTGGGAGGAATGGAGGAACCTCCCATGTGAATTAAACGGGTCCACATGGGTGTTGGGTACCCACAGAGCATAGGCATGTGAGAATTAATCCACTTTGCTTAGTTCAAATTTTGGGATAATTTGATGGTTAGTGGCTTTATAATCACAATTAGTATGACCGGGTTTACTAGGTCATAGCCCCTAATCCATTTTCAATTACTTATTGATTTATTTTTGTGTTTCTCTTTTTTTTTTCCCATTCATTTTTCTCCAACTATCGACGCGGACGAAGGAATACTACATGTATTTTCCAAACCAGCTATTATGTCAGTCCATTAATTTCACATAAAACGGTACCGTTTTTTTCTTTTTCCTCCCTAGGCAACCAGAGTGGAAGTCTTGAAGTTAATAACGTAATTTGACTCAGTTTTTTGGTCTCAGTTCAATCCGGACATTCTCTCTCTTATTTATGGAACTTGTTATTTCTGTTCAGTTCTGAAATCTTAGCCGAAGTCAATTGCAGAAAAATATGAGGCATAAAAAGGTTTAACAGCAAGGCACGTGTCCTTAATCGTTTGTCATCTGTGATGAGATGTTTCTGTGACCATGAATCAAATAGAATTCCTTTCCTCCAATGTCAAGTAATTGCACAAGCTAAAGTAAAACTAGTACTAGATCAAGCCGCGTACAAATGTGAATGGGCATACAACCTCTATCATATGTTAGTATTTGTGAGTCTCTGTATATAGTTGTTTATCTTGAAAAATATCTTGATTTTGGTGGTTGGGGGGGGGGGGGGGAGAGGAGGTTGGTAAATGTCATAATTTCTTGATTTAGAAACATAACATATATATAGTTGTTTATCTTGAAAAATTAACAAGAGGACTTTGATCTTGATTGGGGGAGGTTTTTTTTGGGGTGGGGGTGGAGTTGGGTGGTAAACATGGTTCAAAGACTCTGTCGAGTCGTCAATGGAACGGGGTTTTTTGTTCCGATGTCAGGACGAGATAATTCCAAAATAATGAATCGTCGAGAATTTGACCGAATCACAGAAAATTCAATCGAAACATCTCCAAGACGAATAGAAACGATCGAATCGTTCCAAGTCAATTCGAATTTTTATTATTTTTGTTTATCATATTTTTTATTTTTTAAAATATTAAATATTTTAAAAATTTACGTCTCATCGAAATCGTGACCAATGTGTTGAAGCCGATGTGAAACCGTCTGTGCCATGACCGCGACCGCAACCGGGGCTTTGAACTATGGTGGTAACTGCCATAA